CCGCCAGTGACCGCCAGCAGCCTGAGATGTCATAGCGACCCAGGCAGCCCGCACAGCATCAGGGGGATGTCCTGGCCGGGCCCTCCTGTGCCCCGGGCCCCATAGCGGCCGCCTGGGTTGCTATGACGATTGTTCCACCGCTGCATCCTAAGCCAGGGGTGGGCAACTCCCTGGCGTAGCGGGGAGAGACAGCCAGGAGAGAGAGCAAGGAGAGACAGCCAGGAGAGAGAGCGGGGAGAGACAGCCAGGAGAGACAGCCAGGAGATAGAGCAAGGAGAGACAGCCAGGAGAGAGAGCGGGGAGAGACAGCCAGGAGAGAGAGTGAGGAGAGACAGCCAGGAAAGAGAGCAAAGAGAGACAGCCAGGAAAGAGAGAGCGAGGAGAGACAGCAATGAGAGAGAGCGGGGAGAGACCGCCAGGAGAGAGAGCGGGGAGAGACAGCCAGGAGAGAGAGCAAGGAGAGACAGCCAGGAGAGAGAGAGCGAGGGAGGTTTTTTTTCATTGGTAGATCTCATGTAGCTCGTCATTTGAAAAGTAGATCTTAACACAAACAATTGTGGGCACCCCTGATCTACATGAATGAAGTTAAAGCAAAAGAGGCAGATTTTTGCGGCAGGAATCACAGATGGTTCCGGACAGCTGTGGCCACTATACAGTACAAAGCAATGACCAGCGGCCGGAGCTGTTCACTGGTGTTCAGATGCAATCGCTCATGGAATGTTCTCCTGTGGTTAGGGATAGATGATCGCCCCTGGACGTATGCTGTTTGGTTTGGGAGCGATCATATGTCCTTAGCCATGCGGAATCGCTCCATGGTGATCGCATCCAGACACCAGTAGACAACCTCGGCCCTCCAGCTGGGTGAAACTACGAATCCCATGAAAGTGACATTAAAGGATACATTTTTTTCCCTCCCCCCATGTTAATGTCAGCACATACGTTAAATGATGTCTCTTAATCCTAACTTCCTCTTCTTTCCCCATGTTTTCATCTGTCCCTCCAGCGGTGCGGCGGCTCTCCGATCCACCGCTGACTGCTCTGTCCCTCCGATCCACCGCTGACTGCTCTGTCCCTCCGATCCAGCGGGGTCTGCATGCGGGTGCACACGTCCAAAGACTTACCTTGCGTCTCTGCTCGTCTCCCCGGCGAGAATCCGAAATGCGCATGCGCCCGCCCCAAGATGCTTTGCGGCCGCTCGAACAGTTTTGTTTTCTCGGGCGGGAGTGTGCAAAGAAAAAAAGGTAAGTTCAACTACCTCCGAGCCGGCCATAGTAAAAAAAACGGCCGGCCCGGAGCTCTCTAGATCTGGCGCGTGCGAGCGGGAAATGGCCGATATTTAAAAACAGGCAGAGATGCCTGTTACCATACAAGCGATCCGCCGGCTGTAGAGCCGGCAGATCGTGTGTATGGGGTGCCGATCGGTTCCCCCCTACTAACATAATGTAACAAAAAATGTTTCTGTACTTTTTCCTAATTATAATAAAAAATAAAACCCCCAGTGGTGTTTAAATACCACCAAAAGAAAGCTCTATCTGTCCCCAAAGAATGGTATAAAATTCATTTCAGTACAGCGTTGCATGACGGAATAAATGTCAGTCAAAGTACCGCAGCGCTGAATACTGAAAAATGGCCTGGCCAGGAAGGGGGTCTAACACCTGGTCTTGAAGTGGTTAAACCGCTGTTATAGCGTTTTTGTTTGTTTTTTTAAAAACTGTTTGCCTACATCTAGTGCTTGCTAGCAGTATAGGCAAAAAAACGGGAGGGTTTAGAACCCCTTTAAGCTTCGGCCTCTGGGAGTCAAGCCTGTGGCTGTCAGAGTCTTGCTATGCCTCGTGGGACTTGTAGTTCCACAACAGCCCTCTTACCCCTGCATTAGGAAATATTCCAAACGTTAGATTTTCTGTATGGCCAGCTTTACTGTCCTGATTGCTGATCTCACCGGTAATGAAAGTGAGGGGAACATCCATGATTTTTATTTGCCACCAAAACAAAAACAGAGGTAGACACTTGCTGCTGCCTGTGACAACTAAAGATGACCATACCCTGTTTCCCCCGAAAATAAGACACTGTCTTATATTTTTTTTCCCCCCAAAAAAACACACTAGGTCTTATTTTCGGGGGATGTCTTATTTTTAAATAGTGTCACACACAGTGTCACAATACCTGCAGGCTGCAGCTGTCCTGGAGCTCTCCTCTCTGATGCAGTCCACAGTTCTCTGTGGGATCCCCGCCAGGGAGCCACCTCTCTCGTCGCACGGACCTCCGGTCAGAAGTTCCCTCAGTGACTGAGGCTCAGTCACCTCACCGCACTCCAACCCCACTGGCCATACGTTCCTTGCTGTGCTGCTGCCTGCTGGGAAATGTAGTTTTCTGCCCGGCGGCAGCTCTCTGAGCAAAGGCTGAGGCAGACAGGTGTCTGCAGGTTTCGTGACAGGGGCGGCATGCGGGAGCGGCGGCGCATCGGTTAGTCCCCGCCATGTACTCTGGTTGATCTCTGGGCCGCCCCCACCCCCAAATTAGGTCTTATTTTTGGGGTAGCTCTTATATTACAGGAATGTTTAAAAATAGTGCTAGGTCTTACTTTCAGGGTAGGTCTTATTTTCGGGGAAACACAGTAGACTGCCTGCAAACCCCCCCACCCCCCGGGCTGAAATTCAAGCAGTGTGTGGCCCTGCCCTCACCCTTCTGTTCAACAAAAGGTGATTTTCCAATCGAATTGATGTATTGTCATTGCTTTACATCAGGGGGCCTCCAGCTGTGGTGAAACTACAAATTCCATGATGCATCTGTCTCTGGAAGTCATGTCTGTGAAAATCTTGCAATGCCTCATGGGATTTGTAGTTTCACCACAGCTGGTGGGCCGCAGGTTCCCCACCCTCGCTTTATGTGGATGAGGGAATCGCTCGTTTTTTAGTCAGAAAGTGTATGGCCAGCTAAGAGGAGATTTCCCTCACATTAGGAATATATCCTCTCACTTCCTGTTAAGCCTACGGGACAGGAAGTACAGGAAACTCTCCCTAATGAGACACGAATGACAAAAAAAAAAATTGACAGCAGAGGCGCGTTCAGTTGCCCAGCGGCTGCGAGTGCTGAGTTAGCAAACCGCAAGCTGAACGCTGTGCCACAAGTCAGCTCTCAGCACTGCTAACTTAGCACTCGCAGTGGAAGTAAATGTGAATGCTGAGCGCTGAGTGGGGGACAGAGCTCCAGCGGCCATTTTAACTGTGGGCACACCTGGCAGCCCTGGAGAAAGGTGCCGAACCCCAATGGAGAAAATCACAATTCAGTGTGGGGACCTACAATGTAATGTTTTGGTGGACAAGCACATCAAATATTCCTTGGAAAATTGTATTTATTAGTTTAAAAAAATGTATCCTCTACCATTTTGCTCAGCACTGGGCAGCCGAAGTGTTCGGTGAAGCTGCAGCAAACTGAAGTGCTGCAGAACAGCTACTCAGAGCTTGGCTAAGGAACTGAACGCGCCACTGATTTAACCCAGGGGAAGGCAACCTCGGCTATTCAGCTGTGGTAAAACTACAAGTCCCATGAGGCATTGCAAGCCTACACAGGCATGACTCCTGGAGACAGAGACAATATGGGAGTTGTAGTTCCACCACAGCTGGGGTGAGGAGGTTGTATTAAAATTTAAAAAGAAAAGTTTGGGCTTTAAATACACTTTGATAAATTTAACAAAAAACAACAAACCTATAAAGATAACATTTGACACCACCAATGACTGCGTTGCTGGAGCTTATAAATACGCTTTTGGGGCTTTTTAATTCCCATAACTGGACAAGAAATCATGTGTATAAAAGTGGTTGTTGTCCTTAGCAACCAATCAGGTTGCTTGTTTCATTTTTCTGGTGTTTGAGAAGTGGATCCAGATTGGTCACCATGACCTGCTCCCACCGTGCTGCCATCTTCTCCAGTGTCTGCCCCTCTGTGAGAGTGACGTGACACCAGATGTTCCCTCTCCTCCTGGATGAGGCCTATTGCTGCCTGTGCTAGGCCTCTGCTACCAGAAGGGGGAGAGGGAGGAGGCGCCATGCCCGGTGCATCCTGGGAAATAAACCAACATGGGGAGCAGCTCCTCCAGGCTCAGCATGCACGGCCATTGCACGGAGTGAGAGCCTGAGCGGACCCCCGTGCCTGCCGCTACCACCCTCCGCGTCCTCGTCTGCCCGCCCCGGGGGGAACGATGTGACGGGCTGCAGCGAGCACACTCCCCCCCTTCCCCAGCCTCTCCCGGATGATGGACAGGAACTACCCGACCCCCACCTTCACCGACCCGCTGGCCCCGGCCTCCCCCGCCGCCTGGGCCTACGAGCGGAGCGCGTCCGGGCTCAAACCGAGGTAAGCAAGGAGGGCGCTGCAGGAAAGGCTGGGGATGTGAGGCCTAGGAGGCCGCGCACGCTGGAGGTAGGCGCGGCCGACCCGCGTACACTGTCTACTCCAGCACGGTGATCATCCCCCCCTGCGCCAGGCCTGACCGGGCACTGACACCTGTCTGGTGTTGTCATTCTGATTAATGTTTATTCTCATCGTGCCCGGGCTGCCTCAGTCACACGAGGCTGCAAAACTTGTTTATTGTACTTTTTTTCCATGACAACCCTTGTGTGTCCAGGGACACCAGTCTATTGCTTGCAGGGACAGTCCCTGGAAACGTCCCGTGACTGACTTGTGCACCATGAGCTGCTGAAGGGTTCTGTATGTCAAAAGGCTAAACTTTTTAAATTATTAGTAAGGGTTAAGACTGTTTTTGTTCTGCTTGTGACCTATGGGGGGACTTTCCATCACTTCCTGTTTTGGAGACACTAGAGGAAGTGAAATAACCCTCAAAGTAAGGAAAATCCCCTCCAAAGGCCCCGCGTGAGCGCTCTGTCCGTCCTTGCAATCACGGGTCAGAAATGGATCAAAAACGGACTGTGTAGGATCCCCGTGGACGGCTGGATGTAAACAGACGTGCGTCCGTCTGTATCAGGGGTGGGCAAACTGCGGCTCTCCAGCTGTTGAACTACAAGTCCCATGAGGCATTGCAAGACACTGACAGCCACAGGCATGACTCCCTGAGACAGATCAATGATGTGATTTGTAGTTTCACCACAGCTGGAGGGTTGGCATTCGCCCACCCCTGGTCTATATTCACCCATGTCCGGGTCCGCTGGAGCAAGTGCAAAAAGTTTGCGACCGGATGTGGGCAGATAAAGGCAGACGCATGCTTGTTTACATGCGTCCTCCCATTGTGATTACATTGGCCAGTTGTTCCTCCATCACAAGGTGGAGGAAAAATCTTAATGGACACGGATGTCATGTGACTTCCTCTGGGGTGGACAATTTAATATATATAGCAGCCAGTGTACCCAATCCAGGAGCCAGATTCATTGACAACTAGAAAAAAAACTAAAAAAGTTTGGCGCCGGCTGTTGTTTTTATGGAGCTTTGGTGCCCTGGCTCCTGGGATTTCAGCCTTGGATGTCCGTTTATGTTCTGATCCGACTCAGCAGGGGATCTCTCTATGGACTGTATGAAGGGTCAGTTGTAATGAGTGTGCCATGGAAGATTCCTTTTCTGTTCTGGTGACAACAAATTTTGGATCTTCCCATCACTTTCAGCCCTGGTGACAATAGTTACCAGGACAAATATAAAGGGCCGGTCTCCCTGGTTACCGCAGACATTCATTTAAACCTCACGGGGTTCTATGCCCCCTAAGGCCCCATTCACACCAGGGCGTAGCGGATACGCACTTTCCCGGACGTTTGCAGGACTTTGTTTCCTGCGTTTGTGGCGCACCCCCATTGGGTCCCTGGACATGTGCCCACTGCAGAAAAGTACATGGCGCAAATTTGGCAACATGCGTTCCATGTTTTCCCCCCATGTATTTGTTCTCATGCAGGGAAAGGCTGCATTTGGGGGTGCCATTACCTAGTTATGTCAATGCAGGCGTGTTCCGTGACCGTGCGTCAAAGCTCGCACTTTTGTGCACATTTGATGCGCGTTCACTAAACTAAAAACAAAAAAAAAGGTTTTAGATGCACTTTAAGTTCAATTCTTGTTTATGATTAATATTAGGGATGCAGCGATAGGGTTTTTTCAGTATCGAGTACTGATATTTGTTTTTCGGTACTATACCGAAAGCCCCAGTATGGATGGCGGGAGGTGTTGTAATGATCCGCCGCCCGGCTTCCAGATTAGCTGGGAAGCCGTCTCCATGCTCCCTCATCACTAGGTGACTAGGAAGAATAGAGCCGGCTTTCTGGCCAATCACGAAGACGGGGGGTGGGTAATGACTCTCCGCCCGGCTTCTGGATTGGCCTGCTTCCCGACCAATCAGAAAGCTGGGTGGCGAGTCATTTCCCGCCCCCCGGTTTCTTTGCAATATGGGAGGAGGTGACATGCCCCCAAAAAGCGGATATTTGACAGCAGTAATGAAGGAAAGATGGTGTATGATGGGGGTCATTATTTTACCCTGAATTGGAGAGGTTTTCATGCTACTATTGCTGACCTCTTCTGGAATTTCTAGGTCCCTGGCTGTCATTACTGACCTGGAATAAATGTCCTTTTCTTTGACTTTTCTAATCTGCATATTCTTTTCAGTGACTCAGAAAGCCCAGTAATGGTATTCCCAGTTTTCTGGTATGACAGGTTTACTTTAACAACTGGCTCGGTAGGTGAGGGCCTTATTGTGAAGTTTTATTACCTATACAGGTGGGCAGTGATAGTTGTCACCGCAGCCGTGCTCCTGTCAGTGCCTCTTGCCTGGGCCATGCATTGTATGACTGCGTTGTCTGGCTCATACATGTACACAAGGCTGTAAAACTTTTATTGTACTTCCCCCCCCCCATGAAAAAGAAGTGTGAGTGACCTAAAGCTGGCCACACACCTATAGATTATCTGCATGTTTTCTATGGTGGAAAGTGCAACAGATTCCTCCAGCGTCAATTCTAAATCTGGACTTCAGGGACAGCTGTTGGCTACAGCCATGTATCTTGCTAAACTGTGTGAAAGGAAGAATCTCCCACTGGGCCAAGCTTCAGTATCTTGCTAGTCGGCCCCGCTGGCGCTCATAATACCTCAACAATCCATTTTGAGAGCCAGCGGGGCCAACTAGCAGGGTACTGAAGCTTGGCCCAGTGGGAGATTCCTGAATCCACACAGTTTAGCGTAGATGGAGGAATCTGTTACATCTGACCATAGATAATCTATAGGTGTGTGGCCAGCTTTAGTATAGTTGGAACATCAATTCCAGGGCCAGTTCATAGATTTGTTCCTGGAAACGCAGAATCGTCAATTCTAAATCTTGACTTCAGGGACAGCTGTTGGCTATAGCCATGTGTCTTGTGTATGTAGCACTTCCTGAACAGCCTAACCATAAAGTCATTATTATTACTATTATTATTATTATTATTCAGGATTTATATAGCGCCAACAGTTTGCGCAGCACTTTACAATATAAGGAAGACATTCCAATCACAATACAATTCAAGACAAGATGGTAAAGAGGGCCCTGCTCCTGAGGGCTTACAATATTTTTCAGTTAGGGACAATCACACTAGCCCATCGGCTAAAGCGCTCCTTTTTGCGAATGGGCTAGTGCATTACGGAAGCTCTGGCAGTGTGCAGTGTATCGTAGCTGTATGGTTTTTTTTAACTTTACATGGTGTGAACAATGTGTACGCTCCTTTCAAAATCCCTGAATAGCAGCAAGGTGCGCTGTGCAGATATCGGCGGCATGCAGTGCACTAATAAAATGCAGCATGTTTTCATTTTATTGCAATGCAACGTCTCGCCCATCACACCTACGTTGCAATGTGAAAGGGACACATAGCAAACAACGTGGAGACCTGCATTGATCTGGTGTGGTATGACACAGGTCACCGCAGTATGTGTGAACGGGCCCTTATTAATTAAAGGTGCACACCAATCAAAATTTGAAATTGCATTGAGTCTCATAGACTTCTTGCTCAGTACATGCTACACCCGGGTATTCGTGCACTGCACCCAGCCAGCTCAGTCCTTCTTTTCGGTGATCTGTGGACCCTTCCTTATGATGCAGGGGAGAGATTCCCAAACACACCCACTACAGGTCCTTGTCTCCTATATGCAAAAATTTTGACGGGGGGGTGGTGGGGACTGGGGGGAGAGAGAGAGAGAAATATCAGTGCTAATAGGTTTCTCAGCCACCAATCGGATTCCAGCATTTTCAGCATTATCGGTGATTCAAAAAAAAAAAAAAGTTTACAAAAAATGCTGCAAGTAACCCTGTGAGAGTCTCTCTGAACTTTGGTTTTTAAAGATTATATAACATTCAGATGAAAGTAAACTCTCTGAAGCTTTGAAACAGGAAGATTGCATTGTTGGATGGACGCCATGTGTTGCTCACTGATTGTTTTCAGTTGTGGCATAGAATTGATTTTTAGCATTCTCTGAATTGGTTTGGAGGGCAATATATACATTGAAAGTATTTCCTAGTTTACTTTGTCTATTGGAATTCTGTTAGGGGAGTGACACTTGTGCTCCCGGCCCGGCTGCTGACAACTTCAGTTTCTCCTACTCCTGCCCCATTATTAACACTGCTACTTGATCCACACCTCCGGACGCTGGCTTATGTTCCTGACACGGTTGTCTAGCAGTGCAATGGTACAGAGGATTCTGTGCAAGGATTGTCCCAGTTTTATCAACTTTATTGTTTTGGAAACCTGTTTCCTATCAAATATATACATCTATGTTCTGCTGTAATTGTATATGTGCATGGGGACGGCTATGGTCACCGCTATACCAGATCATTGAACCCTACATACCCTCTGTGTGGCTGCTATCTTATCTCAGCAGCTGCAGCATGGAGGGTGATTGCAAATTAAGTGATTAAAACAGAGCGGGGGAGGGTTAGATTGCAAAAAAAACTTGACAGTGGTTCTGTGCCCCTATTGGAGATTCGCCTCACTTTTTGGGCCCATTCACATCACATCCAGATCATCTGCAGACCAGATTCTTTCAGGACCTAAATGGATCCTAATGTATCCCTACGCGTATTCCAGACCAGAAAAATTATGGTTGTCTCATTTTGTCTGGTCTGCAATGCACTGGAACTGCGGGCAGGTTCACACCAAATCTGGACCATATAATATTTATTTTTGTATTAATTGTTTCTCAAACATCATAAAGGTGCCCATACACCTTAATATCGGCCGATTTTCATATGCGATCGATATTCGTAAGGTTGATGGGCAGTGTACAACCGCAAATACTGTACAATCGATCGACTTTTGACTAACCAGCAGGTTAGAAAACTTCGGGCGAACGTACGATTTTCGCAAGGTCGGTGGCGTTTCTGTACGTCAAAATTCGTACGATTT